AGCAACCACATGAATAGGCATCAGGTATCTAGCAACTTTGTTTAACGTAATTGCTGAATTTAGCCGATCGGTGTTGGTCACTCTAGCTATAATTTCGATATTTGCCAGAAGGAGAATTTTCACAATGAGGGCGACTAAATAGATGGACTAATGATCCTGTAACCTCTGTTCGTATTTGATCAGTTTGCCACGAACTGACCTTCAGTGTCGTGCAGCTGCGGTGCGATCGAGCAAAATTACATATCAGGTGCTATCACACGGTCTATGGAAGGATCACTACAGGTTTTTCCCGATAGTATCCAATCCATTCGACTCTGGGAAGCAAGCACCCAACTGCGAATAATTCATCCTCACAAAGTTTTGGCTTGAACGCCGTATTCGTGTTTTCCTCGCACACAGTAGAAATGAACTGTGTTTTTCCGGTTTTCAACTGGTGTAAAAGCATAGTAACTGAGGTGAGGACAGTCTACTGGGATCTGCTTCGGCGTGTACACAGGCCCCCTAGTTCAAACGTAGTGATGACAAGGTCGAAAGAGACGTTCATAGAGAAGTCCAGTAGTTCACTCCAATTCCGTTAGAACGTGCAGTTCTGATTCATGCTCACATCANCAACTGCTTCATATATCTTCCTTGATGTTGTGCTCCACTGAGATGAGCCAACTGCGCCACACCACTCCGTGTACAGCACGCACGTGACAGGCACAAAATGTCACTGACGGAGTACATTAAACCAAAGCCAAATTTGCTTGGTACATGTGGACGGAAAATGCTGATAATGAGCGATGTACATGGGTACCAAAGCTTGAAGGTGTAACCAAGGAAGAAGAAGAACTGTTTGTTTCGGAATGTACACTCATATGATCAGTCTGAAATCAACTTGTTTGAAAAATTCACTATAAACGCAGTGCTGCGGCGTGTGCGATGCTTTGATGAAGGTCATGGATTTGGATACTGTGAATACAGAAGTAGGTGGGTTGTCTCCTCAAGAGCGACATGTTATGGTGGAGACTGTAGTAGGAGTTTATAATGCCTGGTCGTCGATGGGAATTTTTTTCACATTCTATGGACTACACTAGTTCAGTAGCACGTCGTACCATGGGGACTGTCAGTCTAGCAGATTCCTCGTCTACGTGTGCTGCGTAGAAGAGCACCTAAACTTCGACGACTGGAGTCAACGGTAGACACTGAACATAAAGCCTCACATTGGTCTTTACCCTGTCGTTCAAGGGAATTGGCCAGTAAGCTGAAACTTTGCGCTGGTTACCTGTTGAAGCTGAGTGAGGTCCCGCCTAGGTGTAAATTAATTGTTGTAACTTCGAATGCATCTGCCTGCTTTTTACATGCAAACATAGCGGAGGCGAAATGATTCCGAATGTGCTCTGGTGTTTAACCTGGAAGCACCATGGGTTTCGCTGAACGGAACTTAGTATGCCATGCCACATGAAGACCATAACTTCTCACACAGCACGTCTTTACGTGAGTGCACCACAGGTTGCAGCACGGCTTCTGGGTTCCATATCTGTGTATTTGGCATCCGTCTTGACGCCCACCCATAGGTGAAATATCTTATCCGGGTTCTGTTCATTGTTAGGTCTAATTCGGTTATCTTGGTTGCTTTCTCACTCCGCACTATCCTGTCACGGTCATTTCCAAGATACCTGTGGGGTTACCAGGCCACACAGAACCCAAGGTAAGGCCGTCTCGTACAAAGTGACGGGCCATTGGTGAATATGGTGTGAGAGACTGCCCTCTAGGCAACGGACAGAGCTTTCCTCTAAACGTGAATTCGGATTTCAATTATACAACCAGTAAAGCCCGGTTGTTTTAGTCAACGTAACAGTTTAAGCCAATCGGGTAATTAGAAAA